GCCTACATTTTTATGAGAGAGATCAAATACTCCATGGCTCAGCTTTTTTTTTTTTAAGAGTTCTTTACAAGAAGCTGATAGTAGATCTTCTTTAACTTTACAGGATATCATTCTCCTTAAGGTGCTTGCCCTGTATCACTGAAAGGCTGTACTTGGAAGTTTCACAGGCCTATTTTTTGGATTCTTTAGAGGACAATCCTCATATGACAATGCGGACATCAAGCAGAATGGACAATGCAAAGAAATGGCTTGGACTCAGTTTTTGCTTCATGATGAACCTCATTACGACTGTATTATCTGGAACCAGCAGACCTCCAAGCAAAGGCCAAGGACAAAGTCTCTCAGACAACTTGCTTCTGCATCAACGAATGAAGAGGAGTTGGGTGTGGAACCAGTTCTTTGTTCTGGAAGAATACACTGGAACGGATCCTTTGTATGTTGGAAAGGTAAGCAGCTGAATGAGGGATGGGGAATCAGAGACCTACTATATTAATGGGATGGTTAAGGGCAAATATGTTTAAACAAAATTAGAATTCGTTCTGTTTGTAGTGAGTTTCACAAAAGAGTTTTTCAAGCTGAGAGAGAGAGAGAGAGGACAATATAGGATTTATGTTCTGTTCTTCCAGCAATATATATATTTGTGGACATCTGATTTATATCTGAGAGCTTCCTGTTCATGTCACCCTGAACTGAGAGTAATGTCTGTTTTGAAAAACTGTCAATGATTTGCCTTTTTCCCAAAGATCAGCACTGACAATTATCAGCTATAATTGACATCTTCCTAACAAAACCTCTGACAACCTTTATTTGAATTGCTTCAGTGTCAGAGCACAGCCTGGTACAGATTGATATAGAAAGATTGGGGACAAAGAGAGATTGCAGTGGCTTATTTTGGCTTCCTTTGGCTTCGAGCAAGAACAGTTTCTGTATTCAGAACTTATTCTCCAACCATTTCCCAAGTACTTGTAGCCAAAGCTGAAGTTAAGCCAAAATCATATTGTACTAAATGTGAATTGCTATTGAAAGCAGGAATTAATTTTCTTTCTTACCTGTGTGTTGATTTCACAACGTTGTGCATTCCCCTGCTCATTAACAGTGACAAACAACAAATCACTGCAAATAAGGAACACACAATGTTATAACATCAGAATGCAAATAGATGATCCCAGATGTTACAAAAAGAAGAAATTAATCTTATAATTCAAGCCTTTGGCATTGGTCATGTTTTCCAAGTAATGTAATTCACCCAGGATTTTTTATTTTTATTTATGTTATTTTATTTACAATGTTGTCACCAAATATGAATGGATGATCTAACCAGATTATTGAATTTTTAGAAAATGAGACAATCAGCACTGGGGTAATATACTGGTGGTAAAACATCTTGTACCCAATTTTCTCTAAGTGTTAGGATTAGGTTAAATGCATAATGAATTTAATATTCATCCTCCACTGATATTCACATTGTTGCATATCTGTTATCCTGTTTAAATTCTGCATTCATTTAATCACATAGCCTTTAACTTATTCTATCTCTGAGTAATATTTCAACAGCAGCTTGTAAACAAGCCCTGCAAAATGTTCAGAATTTTGTGCTACGAGTCAAATTCAGTCAGGTCTCTAAGTATTCTGCCCTGTTTTTGCAATTCCTTTTGAACTACACAGCTTATTTGAAGATAAGACGATTCTGCCCATTCTGAAGAGAGAGGATTTCATCTTTGTCTTATTAAGAATTAGATATTACAATCTGTATGAATTATTATCTCTCCACTTATTACATTTTTTGTATATTCACCTTCATGTAAATAAATATTTAATATTGAGGCATGGGGCAATGCGTCTGGGCTCATTCTTTTTCTGCGTATATTCCATATTTTTAATCTGCTATATGTATTAGTGTTTTTGCATTTCTGTTTGTATCAAACTGAAGGTATTTATGCAAGCCGTCTGGGAGTCCCGCTCTCTCAGTAGAAGTAGGCAGCCATAAGGTAATAAATCCAGTCTGTGATTCAAGTTAGACAGCTGGCTTGACAGTACTGTTTGAAAGTTGGTAGTGCCAAACAGAAAACTAAGTCTTGGTAAATATCCATTTTTACTGCTACTGTTCTTCCTAACCAGGACAAATTTAACTTTATCCATCTTAAAAGATCTGCCGTTATATTTTTCCAAGTCTGTAAATTATTATTTCTTTTAAAATCTTTACTTTTTTATGAAGTAAATTCCCAGGTACTTAACTGATTTAACAGTAATATCGAGCCCTGTTTGCTGCAAATGTTGCTTTTTGTCTTTGGTAAACTCCATTTCAGTCTTGTTCTTATTAATTTAATATCCTGATACCAAACCATAATGCTTATCAATTCTAAAGAATCCCTTGGATGAGTAACTGTAAGTACAACATCATCTGCATACAATTTTTAGTTCTTGATTTGCCAATTTGATTCCTGAAATTTTATTTTCTTGTCATATCTTCCTCGCAAAAGCAACAGAAGGAAGGAGAAGGGAGGAGCCCTGTCTTATTTATTTATTTATTTATTTATTTATTTATTTATTTATTTATTTATCACATTTATCACATTTATAGATTTATCATCTTGTCCTCTTCACTATAATATATTTTGTGATAAAAGTCCATTTAACTTCTTGTTCTTTCCAAATGCTCTGCCCCATGCAAGAAAATCCACACAATTCATCTTCTTCAGTGTTGTGAATATAAAAGGTCATTCCAAAGTGTCAAAGACCTTATCCGCATCAAGAAAAATCATAGCCACTTTCTTGTTTTCCTGATTTATATTATCAATAGCATTCAAAGTATATCTGATACTGTCCCTCATGTACTGTATCTTTATGGGGGAAAAATCTAATCTGATTGGAATATATTAAGTTAGTTAAAAGGTCATTTAATCTTTTTGCAAAAGTTGCTGGAAAGAGTTAATTAATCCACATTTAATACAGAAATAGGTCTATATGCCTCTGAACAAGTTGGGTTGCTCCCCAAGTTGTAAATCATAGAAATAAAAGCTTCTTGTCATGAGGAATAATGTACCTGGCATTGTTGTATCTCATTCATTCCTTGTTTAGTTTAATCTTGTTATTTCTCATTATACTTCTTTCCACCATCCTTCAACTTCCATGGCTGCTCCTTTTTCTGAAGTGCAAATGGCTCACAGGAATAATCCCGTCATAGTTTTCTATGGGGTTTAATATAGGTTTGGGAAGCCAGGGAGGTTACAGAATACTGGAAAAAATATTGGACAAAGAACATTGCCACTGGTATTTTATAAGCTAAGTTATAGTTTAAAGAAATCCATACTCTACCCATGAGAATTCAACTATCATCTTCTCCTTTGGGAAAGATGTTACAACTATTTCTTTTCCGTCAAATAGAATGAGAAGGGTAACCTTCCCCAAAAATTGTATACAACATTAATATAGGCTATTTTGTAAATTAAGAAAAAAAAAAGTTCTACTCTGCAATGGTTGCAAAATACAAACTGCTGCTCTTCACATGGGGATGTAGGTAAAAATCACACCATCAAGTCTACAGAAAATAATTCCAGAAGTTAATCATGCAGTTTTGGATTATGCATTATCAGCTTATGCACGTAGGTTCCATTCAATATGGTATAGCCTTTCTGATATTTGATCAATGTTTGTAATGTCAAACAAAGAGTCCTAGTTTGAAATAATAGGAAAGTATTCCATATATTCCATTGCTAATGATCTTCAATAACTCAGCCCAAAACTATATTATTCAGTAAGCCCAGGGCATTGAACCTAGGGCCTGCAAAACCTAAAGGCCAATGAAAAGAATCATGTTTTCCTTTCTTTGTATGATAAAACATTAACAAAGACATATATATTGAGAGAGAGAGAGAGAGAGAGAGAGAGATCTCAAAAATAGGTGCAGTACATACACAAAGAGGAAGAATCATGTCAATGTCCATCATTTTTTTTACAATGAAGTAAAAGAAATTAATAAAACATTCAGAGAGATGAACTTTTCAATATTTTAATTGCAAAATCAGCAGTAACTTCTTCAAATAATGTTTTTGCACAATCTACAGTATTTCTCAATAAAGAGAGGTACAAGAAAAGGAAAACATTGTTGTCCCATGGTTGATCAGAGACAATTTTTATCTGCTTTAGCTCCAAAAAAGTATGTTCCCCTTCACAATTCATACCTAACATGGCAAGAGACATCCCTAGAGCTTCATATGTATATGGAAAGCTGTTGAACAGGTCAGTAGATACAAGTGATCAACATATCATTACGAAATTTGACAGGAGTAATGTTCTACATACTGTTTTGCTAGGCCTCCCCAAAGATTCAAGACATGTTGATCACCTGTCTACTTATAGAAATCAATTTACCCATAATGCATCCACTAAAGGGCTTGTGAAAGAAATGTGGATAGAGCCTACAAAGAATTTAATCCAACCCTGAATCAGGCATTTTGAGAATATCATCCATTGTCTTACAACCTCTAGGAATTGCTGCTCTATATTATCAGTGGATCAGCTTTTCCAAACCAGGTGTCTTCCAGATGGGCTGGACTACAACTCCTATTAGCCATGCTATGTAGGAAATATGGGGATAATTGTTCATCATATGTAAAGAGTACTAGTTGGGAATGGCTAGGATTTCTAGTCTGGGTCACTTTCACATGTGTTCACCCAGAATTATTTTTATCTACCATAAAATTTACATTGTACTTAAATCTACATTGTATTTTCTCTTAAAATCCTCATTTCTGATATTTGCTGTCAAAATATTTTTTAAAATTTATTTGGAAACTGTCAAAAAGTGTGTCATATATGGGAACTGTGTAAGTTATTCAATAACTAAGAGCTTATCTGCAACCAAGTCTGGAAGGTATGGAGCAAATTAGTTCATAGCAAAGTTTGCAAACAATTATTTGAGCAATCTTGCTTTTGATGTATAAAATGGGGATTTCAAAGGGCCTTTGCAGCAAACTATTTTGCAGTCCAATAAACATGCAATTGTTACTAATTTGTGCAAAACTGAGCTATCTTCCTTGCAGTAGGGGCCCCTTGCAGATATGTCAGTAGTGGGAAATGTGATTTGTAACTGTTGCTAGAAGTGTGTTGTTACTGGAAAATGTGACTCTTCCCAACTAGCTTATATCACTGTTGGTCAGCTTCAATTTTAGCCTCTTACTCGGAGACACTGAAGAATAAGTTGTTTATTTGTAGAGTTGTCTGGTAAAAAACATTTGTATATTTAATCACTTTTGTCATTCCAGCATTCTGTTCCAATAATAGATATGCCCAAAGAACATTGTTAAACAATGTAAATTGTTCATTTTACAATATGATCTTAATATTTTCTAGAGCAATCATTTCACAAATATTTGCTCTATATTTTTAACACATAATGGAATGAATCTATGCACTAAAAAGCATTGTATTATTTATATAATATCAA